ACTCTTACCTGCATGAACTTCTACTTAAGAGAAAGGGAGGCACCCACACGACGCATAAAGAATTAACGCTTCTCGCGGATAGAGCGTATCAAGACGGATTTGTGTGAGACTGTTTAAATATTCCCAAGCAACACATACAGATCCATTAAGACGTCTGAGAAGTGACTAGGCACGTTTGAGATATAGTAAACGTTGTGTTTTCCGCGTTAATGGGATAAGTGCGAGAGAGGCTTGTAATAAAACATTAATTTAAGGATTTGTTGGAAGAAACAAGTTTCGTTTCCATCTGACAAATATTTAAATGGCGATCTCCGATATTTCAGGCTACAAAACGTACATTCTCTCCTCTTAACTGGCATTGTCACAGTGCTATCGCACAGCGATATAATAAAGCTATGCTCTTTTTCACCGTAATTTTGTTTATGCTGCACGATCTGTTTTGTGATTGATAAGTTTAGTTTCGATACAAGAAGAATTAACGTCAGGTAATGAACGAGATAAAAATTGCAGATAAGAATCCGATCACATCGCCAGTTTATTTAAGTAGATAATAATAATGATAGAATCATTGTGTGACGGGATCAATGAAAAAAATTAAATAAAAATTCTTCTAGTAGAATAAAAATGTCAAATTTTTGGTATAAAAGATTAAATTGTATTTTATCACCTCGAAGATGTATAAATTTATCTCTGATCTTTTGTCTGAAGATAACGAAGATTTGAGTCTGATAGTCTAGTACTCAATTAATCCTAGAATCCTTTTCTATTATAATTATGCTTATCAAAGATAGGCACAACAATTAAATCAAATTAATCATCGATTTACCGTGACTTTGATCATGCAACGAAATACATAATATTGTACAGACAGGATTCTGGTAAGAATTATTTTAGATTAAGATAGAATTGTAATAAAAAGTTGATAAAGACGAAGGATAGATAATGTTACGGTGGAAAAAGGAGATGCACGCAATTGGATCATAAACGCCAGTTGATGAGAGATAGTCCGCCAGATGACATAAGGGAACTTACAAAAAAGAGGACAGTCTGAGAAAAACTAATATCAAAATTTGCGAAGAGAAAATATGTAAGCCAATAGGCTCCGATTGCTATGTCGATTACAATACTTGTAGCAGCAGCAATCTTATGTTGTTCACTTATTCTCTCATGTTTGGCTGTTGTACGCTCGCTAATCGTTAGTACTGTAAGTAACATTTAAGACTTGTACGTAGATCGCATGTGAAACAACGTACGCAACGTAGACGATGATCATTATAAAATATTTACGTACCATCGTACTGATTTTTTTAAAGTGTTCGTTCGTTCGTTCATTCGTTCATCGTTGAATCGAGGATGCGAAAGGCGAAATTAACAACCAAATGCGACAAGCGAGATGGAAATTTTGATCTACACGAATCTTTGCGAATAGATATTCTCATATTTTCTGAGAGTTACGAATGGGACATTGTTACTGTAAAGATATGTAAGTTTATTTATCGCTAATAAAAATGAACGTTGAAGAAAAAAATGGAGAAATATATGAAGAAGACAAAAAAGTTTCATTCTTTCTAATTAATAATTTTTAGTAAATAATGTCACAAATAAAACTGCGAGAATTTCAATTTAGAGGAATAAAGGATCTATCGGCAACTCGGTCAAACTAATCGATAAATTGAACATGCAGTAAAGCAAGAATAGAGAACGGAAATCTTGAAAGACGTGTCATATTAATTAATTGTTAAAGAGTAACAGTAAATTTAATTCTCTAAAGTCAATTTCTCAAATAATATTTTGTTATTTTAATTTCCAAATATAATATCAAAATGTATTATTTTAATATAAAATATAGTTAAAAATACAATTGCACATCTAATCAATCTAATTTCTAGTTGAATTATTTAGTTTTATTAAAATAAACAGTGTTCGGATTGATTTTTTATCTCAAGATTTAGAGAGTGAAACACCCTCTCGAAAAATGTGGATTTTATCGTTTTTAGCAAATATCTTTGATATTAAAAAAAAAGTAAATATACCATTATATAGAGCATAAAACTTTCGTATTAAACATTTTTTTATATATCGCATACTTTCGAAGATCTTTGCTAAAAACGATAAAATCCATATTTTTTGAGGAAATGTTTCACCCTCTAAACCTTGAGATGATAAAAAAATATGGGTCTAGTATTTTTTTATACAATATATCCAAACCCTATCAAAATCGATGAGGGATGGCTCCGACGATTCTCTTGTTAATGATACATAAATAATAAACTAAATTTGAGTTATAATAAATTTAATACACTTCTTAAGTTAAATTGTTTGTTTATTGTATCAGTTAAATTAATGACATATAGAATAGAAACTGCAGTAGCAACCTATAAAATAACTTAAATTGAATATAATTTAATATTATAAACTTTAAACAGTAATGAATGTAATATTTCAGAATCAACATACTGTCCATAAAAATAGAGAATTTCAATACATATGGTACATATGATGGTTAAAGATTAAAGGTTCACGAGATTTAACAATAAAATTCATTTATAAATTTCTCGATAACCTTTAATTTTTAGATAACAATATATTGTGAAAAGAGATTTTAGAGGGATAAGAAATCTATCAGCAACTTAATAAAACAAATCGAAAAATCAGCAATTGATAGAGTTGAGCACACGGTTGAACAGGAATAGAAATTAGAGAAATCCTAAAAGACATTTGATGTTAATGGACAAAAAGAAAAAAATAATGAAATATCTAAAAATACAGCAAGCTATATAAGTCTAAAAATAATTTTGTTAGACTATTAAAATAATTAAATATGATATTAGAGGAAATTAGCATGAACAAAAAATTTTGATATTTTAGCGTCCCACATAATTAATTTGATAGATAAAATTATTTTTACACTTCTATCTAGTTAAATTTTTTAATATTTCAGCAAAACCGTGTTTTTTATGTATAGGATATTAGAAGAACAAGGAATTAAATAAACGTCAAAGTTATATATTTTTTAGCGATTTATTAAATCCTTTAAAATATTTGAAACAGCGTGCGGCTTTGTTATTGGCGTAACAGTGATATAGTCGTTTAAGGTACGTAATACGAGGAGGGCAAAGCGAGCGAAGATCGATGTAAAGTCCGCCCGCCGGTCGCCGGATTAATTTCAGGCGAAAGGAATCGTGGCAGATCCATCGATTCGGCATAATCGCGGATCGTCGGGATTGAGCGAGCGACATTAGCGATCCTTCGGTCTTTCTTTTCCCTTCCCGCTCGCTCGCTCGGCGATTGCGCCATCGTGACGCATGCATGATCAGCGCGATCCGCGGAGAAGTTGCGATGCGTCCGTTTCTCTTAAGATTAACTTTAAATAGAATGTAACGTTATCTAGTTTATTAGACGAGATTAAAATCGAGGAAAAAAGTCCACATACGAGACGGAATTCAATTACGGTCTAATCGATCTTACATCTTAAAGTTTGCCCAGTGCGGCATCGAGAGATTCGGAAGAGAGTATTAGTCGGTACATATAGAAGCCACATCTGCCTCGGATATCAAGTGCGAAATGAATTAGATTTGTTTCTCAATCAATGAGAATTATTTATTATATTTCTCAATCAGTTTATCATTTCTCGCACTTGTTGCTCATTCCTTACGGAAATTTAATACTGGAATTAATTACTTACACTGATTAATTATTGAAAAAAACTAAATTTCAATAAATATTTGTTTAAATAGTTCTAAGTAAATATTTATTAAATATAAACATATATTTATTTAATACAAAAATCATTAATTAGATTTAACTTATCATTTTTTTATTGAGTAAATATTTATTTATTAAAAATATTTGCTTAGTACTATTCAAAGAAATATGTATTAAGATTTGATAATTTTTTCAGTGTATTTTAGGTATTAAAAGTACTGGACAACAATGCTTTTAATACTTAAAATAAATAATTTTCAATATTAAATTGACCAATATTAAATTGAATTTCTGCAAGGAGTCTTTAGGAATAGAAATTGAAATCTCCATGTTTTCCGCATTGCGTGGTATGTCGCGGTATCGTCGAAGAGACAGGGGCTTCACTTTCCGAATAATTTTCGTTTTCCGAGATAAAAGTCATATAGTCGACTGCTGATGATTTATCCAGCGTTTTTGCGAATTTATGGCTCATCGCCAGAAACCCTTATCACTCTATCCGGTGCGGTGAAATTTCGCCAAGCTCATTACCAAACTGCCTTATATTTATCTTATGTAATTATCTCAATTTTCTGATTATCGCTATCTTCTTAAGCGTGCCAACGAAAGAATCGTTCCTCGTAATCTTGTGTTTTATTTTTGCGTATTTATTTGATTTATACTGCTAGAAAATTTTTATTTCATCAAGGTAACTGGAATTTTTTTTTATTTTTAAGGAAACCAATCTTTTTCCAAACAAAATTTTCAATCTACGTAAAACTATTTGAGTTGAAATCATTGAATTCGTATAGAGGGTTACAGGTATAATTTTTGGAATTAGATATGATTCAAAACATTCACATATTGCGAGTTCATCAGCGGACGACTGGTGACTGTTAATTAAATCAAGTGTCACACGAGCCATCGAGTCATGAAACTCGTAATTTATTGAAAATCCCCCGATCGACAGGGTTTCCGTTCGCGTATGACGTATGTGTTTAGTATACATCGAAAATTCGTGCTGTACCCGCGATGATTACGCAGGTAACGATAGCTCAGTGCAGATTTTTTATTTTTTAAGTTTTTTTTCTTTGTAATCTATATTCACAATGCGCTTAGCGAGACCTTCGCATTCCAGCATTAAAATTTGATTCGAAATCTGAGAATAAGGATGAGAATTATGAAACGTAAACGGAATTTACGAAGTCGAACTTGAGTCTCGTTCCGTTTGTCAATCGCATATTCGTATGGATTGCGAAACACGAGAGAAGGAATATTTCGCGAAAGCGAGATTGCACATCGCTTTTGCCCGTATGTCTTATCTAACAGAGAGGTGAGAATAAACGTGATTTTAGAAGAGCGGAGATTGCAGATCCTCGTCATCATCCTCTTCATCTTCGTCGATTCCCGGCTCGCCGAGAGCATGAACGAATTCTGAAATCACAAATAAAAAGGAATTAAGAATATTTTTGTTACGTAATATCAACTAAACGTATCAACCAAAAAAATCAACTAAAAAAAACTAATTAATTAAAAATTTTGGTTGTAAATACATTCTGAAATCAGCTGCAAGAAAACAAAATTATTTGATTTTTGATTTTTTTATCCAATTACCATATTGCAATATTTTAGGTAAATAATTTTTATTTTAAACAAGTAAATAGATCGAAGTAAACTTTTGTATAAATATTTGTAAGAGTTTTATTAAAAAAAATTGATTTAATTTTTATTATTTTATGTTACTTCATTATAAAATTTGCAAGTAAGTACTACAAAAACCGATTTTACGTAAAAATTAAAATAAAATAATCAAAAACTTTCAATAAAGCTTTAATAGAAACCGACATAGGATGAACGTGTGTAGAACTTATATTAATAGAAAATTTAGATGTTTCAATCCTTGATTTAGGTTCTTTTTCGGTATAAAGAAGTGTTACACATTAATAAATTATCAATTTCGCTGTAATCAAACTAAACAATTAAAACTATCATATTAAATAAATAATGGTGTCAAATAAGAAATATCGTAATATTAAAGTTTATGAATAAAAATTATCAAACGTTTCAGTACTCGGCAGAATAAAATTTAAATTATAAATCGGAATTAATTACAATTAAAAATATAATATCGATAAGAGAATCAAATAAGAAAGCGCGCCAAGGAGCGCCCGCAAGCACAATATGTACGTAACAAGATGATGAACTTATAAAAAATTAAATAATGCTTTTCTACAGTTTGAGATTTCCTTTTTATACAGAAGCTATACATTTCGCAAATTATCTTCAGATATTAATAATACATATAATTATATTCAGATCCGTTATTAAAATGCGTTTCGTGAACACTGCAGTTCACGTTCTCAGAACGAGGAGCTTGATATTAATGAACTGTAATGTTGCAAATACAAACACTCTTTGACACTCTAATAATGGATCTGATCATGAAGATAACTCGAAACGCATAGCTGTATAAAAAATTAAAGAACTTTTAAACTAGTAAAAGAATTATACTCAAATTTTATACAAATACTTACAATTAGAAGTAATACTTATATAATAGAACAATCTATAAAGCTTTATATTTTTGGTAACGTTTTGAGTTGTAAAACATACATTCTTAAATATTTCTTAAAAAAGAACATGTAAAGTCGATTAGTCGCATTTATCAAAATTGATTTATCATTATAAAAGCAAAAAGTATAAAGCTATATAACGCGCGATCTCTGATGTCTAATATATATTAAAAATATTGAAATAACAAAAGAGATTTTATTGTTACATAACATTCTCTCGTTTTTTTCTGTAATCTCTTAAATAACTACCCTTCTATAAAGACATTTTAATTGTTAGATAACGTTGCAAAGAAAAGAGAAGAAAATAGTTGTATTTCATTTCTTTCATTATTCCTCGAACAATTTTTACTTTTCCGTTAAAAAAATTAAATTCTCCTTTTATTTTAGATATGACTCCATCGATCATTGCAAGAATGATCGTACGCGAATAGAAATTAAAATCTCTTTTTCATCATCTGCTTTTATTCTTGTTTGCACGAAAATCGCGCGATAGCAATATAAGAAATCTTACCGTAGAAATCAATTCGACCGTCTCCATCCACATCCACTTCCTTAATCATATCTTCGACTGAAAGCAAAAAGACAAAGAACGGTTTACAGTTCACTTTTCTATTTATAATTAAATTGTTTCTTTTTTCAAATAAAAATAATGCTACTAGCCAAGCTAGATCTTGATTAAAATATAATAATTATTTTGTAATACATATATTGAATATACAAAAGTAATGTTTTTTTCTTTTTGGATTTATTTATTAAATGATTTTATTAAATAAATACGTTGTAAAAGAAAATATTATAGGTATACAGATTTGAAGGCAAATTTGAAGGCATTTATTCTGAAATGTTTAACGAACTTGTCTCGTATATATTTTCTATTTTATTCGTTATTGTTGGCCGCCATTAAGCATTTAGGAAAAATAAAGCAATATATTTCAGATGAAATTAAAATGCATGTCGAATTCGATGTGTAACATATTCCTATCACGGTTGTTTGTACAGAAAAAATGCGCCTTGCAGTAATTCAGTTAATATATCTTTGCTGCATTGAGCAATGGGATTAATTCGTATCACGAGCGCCGAGAGCGATGCCGAGAAAGATATTACCAATAGACCCGCATTATTCCACGTAGAATTTATTGCTACGAAAAGGAATGAAGAGGGCATAACGATTCATTACGATACCACGCTGGCATTCAAAGACTTTCCCTTCGGATGCTTTCTTGAAATTTTTTTAATTAAAATTTTTGCTAATAAGAAAATTAATTTCCTATTAGGAATCGATTCCCTATTCTTATACGCGTGCCATTATCTAATAGATAACATAATAGCTTTTAGAATTTTTTTATTTCTTTTTATTTCTTTTTAAATCCCGAAATTAACATATATCAAACACCTTGAAACAAACGTAATATTTTAGCTTTCTCAATTTGCTGATATTTCATTTCGATCTAATAGATAACCGATTGAACAACAAATTTTGATTAATATTTTTATTCTTCAACAACAACAGGTATTTTTTAATTGTTTTGAAAATCTTTTTATACTGAAAATGGATATATTTTTTAAAAAAGATCATCATTCTTCATTTTTTAGTAACTTTGTTTTAAATTTATATAATAACATAATTCATATTATATATAGTATATAGTTATAAATATAAATAATATAATTATAAAAAAATTTTAATTTTTTTACAATGAATATATAAAAATAAATTATGATTTGAAGTTTCTTTTATTGTTATGTTTATGTACAATTTATGTTTATGTTACAATTTTAAGTTATATATTAAAATAATAAAATTTATTAGCAATATATTTAGTATCAAACAATTATATTGATTTACAATATTTCTGTTTCTCAACAGAGAATTTTTGTGTATTTCACTCCGTAAAGTAAAAGAAAAGTAAAGTAAAGTAAAAGAAAAAAGTTACATATAATTTAAATTTTGTAATTTTTCCAAAAATAAAGATAATTTCTTGATTTCTCAAACTTTTTAGGATGATAGAACTTTCTTCTTTTTTTAACCTTACATTCTTTTTCAGCAGTTAAAAATATTGCATTGGAAGAAAAGTTCGTTGCGCTACGAACTTTAAAATTTAAATAGCTGTAACTTTATTGAAAATGAACGAAATTTAAATTTAAAAAAGAGTTTTAAGGTTCTTTAGTAAATCGAGTTACCATAGAAATGTCTAATTTTTTTTTATAATGAAATTGAATTATTGAACTTGACGTGTGCAAAATTCTAGGATAGATTAACAATGAAATAAGAGAGAATAATGTACAAGATGTAACTTTTAACATATAACTTAGTAACAGATAAGGATCGGAAACGTTTCTTTGACTAATTGCACACAAATATTGCTACAGATTTCTCTAAAAAATGAGATTATATTAGTTCAAAAAATTACGATTGCAATGGTCACAAAATAATAAGCCAATGGCCATTTTTCAGAAAAGATATTTACATACATAAACTTGCATACAATTTTAACCTCGAAAAGGAAATATAACTTTATCTTGTCACTTTTCATTTGATGAAGATGCAACTTTTGATTTACTATGTTTCGTATATTTTATTAAGATATATGTAGTATTAATATTTTATATAGTTTTAATATTTTATTCAAATTATGCAAATATTTGTAATTTTGGGTGGACTCTAGTGAGATATTCCAAATTTTCGACATTTTACTAAAAAAATCACTTTAAAGTTTAAAATATATTCTTTCAAAAGATTATACTGTATCTTTTGAGTTTTTATGAGTTTAAAAATTTTTACATATAATATTTATATATAATTATATATATATTTATATATAAAATTACGAGCTGGCCAATTTTCTTTTCGTTTTGCAACTTTCATGTGCTTAAAAAAAAAACATGTAAATAAATACAATAATAAAAATTTTCCAACACGAAAGCTTTTCCCTATAAAATAATTTTTTTTAAATGTTCCTAAAATTTTGTTATTGAGTTATCAAATTAAATAAAAGAAGTATTTCGACTTTGATTGCTCATAATTTCGTTAAAAATCATCGTACCGCAATTAAAAAAACAGGTTCTTAAAGCTGAAATTTTGATCTATTGAACGATATAGATATATCATTGCCATTTAAAAAAAACAAGTAAATATAATACAAATGAGGCGCTACGAAATTATGTTCCAATCCAATACATACAATAAGATTTGTTATTCAGAAATAGAAACTTTATAAATCAGTGTTATTTCTTCAAGCTATTTCTCAGGTTTTATGATAGAAAAATAATTTTAAAAAAATAATTATTGACTCTGTACAAAGAAACACAGTTCGATTGGAATAGATTTTGACATCATTTAAGTTATTCATTCGACAAAAATTCACAATATTGTAGCAACGATCATACCGTTAATACTGCCAATTGTGAGACAATTGTACATTTTGAACATTGCGATTTAATCTAAACTGATTGCGGCCAATCAAGAAACTTGTGTCGATCATCCGTTTGTGCAAGATTATCAAATCAATCGAAGTAAACCGAGTTTCTCGATGTATACGTTTTGCTGACACTCTCTCTCTCTCTCTCTCTCTCTCTCTCTCTCTCTCTCTCTCTCTCTCTTTCTCTCTCTTGGCGCACTGAAATTACTTCTTGCTTCGTATCTAGCAACGAATTAATGCTTGACGGATGCGCAAGAACTAGCGTTTTAACTTATCAATAATATCAAGACTTTTTTAACGCGATAACGATCAAATCATATCTGAATTACTAGCCTCGTTGATCATATTTTCCATATCTACTGCTTTTCCTTTTATTAGAACGTAATTAACTGAATGCAATTACATCGTGCACGAGCAAATCGTATTACCCTTCTTAGAAACCAATTATTTCTCTAAATGCTTCTTTAATGCGCGCTTTTCCGCGCCTATTACGAAAAAAATACAAACGCAGCGCGATAATTAAGATTGCAAACCCGAAAATGTCTTTACAAGAGAAAACAAACGCGTAACGCGAAATTCTTTTTACTCGCATTTCCTGGAGCAGTCGTAATAGTCTAATTGTATTTTAAAACTTAGGGCACACAGGAAAACAAAAAACCAATGGCACAAGAAGACAAAAACAATAAGGACATACATAAGCAGTAAATCAGAGCTATCTAAGATCGGCATTTTTTGACTTAAAATTGATTGTGTTAGTATTCACGTTCCTACTTCTCACTTCATTACTATTTTGTCATAGTGCGTAATGTAGACATGTCAATATCGAGCAAAAATATCGAATATATTCTATGAATATATTCAGATATTTTAAAACTATCTATATTCATTCCCGAATGAATAGACATTATGTCGAATATATTGCACAGCAAATAGATTAAAAAAAATTCCTAATTTTTTTAAAACTTGCGAACAAAGATCTGATGATATTTGATCATTTTGTAGGAAAAGCTTCGTTTATTTATAGTCTCAATCAATATTATAAACAATAAATAGAACTCCTTCTTTTATGTCTCAATAATTAATCATTTAAATCCTTTAAATATTAATAACTCAAAAATCTAATAATATCTACAAAAGTTAAGAAATATAATTGGTGAAGAATGTATTTAATGATAATTTTTTATAAACTCGACATCATTTATACTGAGCGCTCCTGCATATAATTGGCATATTTTGTTGGATCTAAAAGTACAACCAAATGTAAGAGCTCATTGAGCGCTTAGTCAGATTCAGCGTAGTACCAATCTACCGACCTACCGACCTACCGACTATCGAATACACTCAAAACTCCCTAAGGCCGGAAATGATAGTCCGTTATCTCAAGCCTTCTCATATCTTAAGATGCTAATATGGTTATACTGATTGGTTCATGCACTAGCTTAAGATCATTTCAAATCTTGAGCACCTATGGATTCCGCTCTATAATAAGTTCATAAAAATGGAGAGTGAATATGAATAATAAAAAAATATCTAATCAATATTTTATTCATAATTTTTTATTCAATATTTTTATATTGAGCGGCAAAAAATATCGAATATTCGATATTATCGAATAACGATAAACATCCCTAGCATGATACTCGATCTCATGGATGACATTAGGCTAAAATCGTTAAAAGTTATTGACCTGTGTCTAGTATTACTTAATGCTAATATTATAAGATACTATTATTCATAATATATTTATAATAACTATAAAAATATGAATAACAGAATACTTTTAAAGATAGTGGAAAACTTTTAACGATTTCAAACTAATGTCGTCCCTGAGATCAAGATCAATCGTATGCTACGACAAAACAGCAATAGAATAGGAACAGTAATAGGTGTGAATACACCGACATATTTCGATTTCAAGTCAAAAAATATCGATCTTGGACAGCTTTGCAGTAAACGCATCAGCCAATCATAATAGAGAGTGAACGTAAGATAATACACACTGTTAAAAATAAAATATTAATTTTAACTTAAAGACGTAGTGGACTTTTTAATAGATGCAAAAATGTTAAAATTTTGTTGTAGAAAAATTTTTTTTTACTATTACGTTTTTAATCTTGCAACACCACTCTGCGCCTTTTATCACTTTTTTTCAAAATTCTTATTCGGATTTCAATGTAAAAATAAATAAAATATAATTCAGTTTTTATTATAGTAAAAACTTATTATTAAAGATTTCGTAAGTGTACAAGAATTGTTTCAGATTTTTAGTTCAAATCATAAAAAATATATGCTGTTTCTCTCAATAGCTCAAAGTATAAACTATGATCGAAAATTTCGGAGGTAGTGCTGGAAATTTAAGTTAAAATTAATAATATAATATAAACAGTAAACAAATAAAAATGTCGATTTGCTTACTGCTTACTTTTTTATCTATTTATTATTCTGTGTATCACTAACTTTAGCCGTTTACTAACACTTTGGCGTGCTTGCAGGCACCCGCACGCATCCGACCGATTGAAATGTCATTCTTCAAATGTCGAATGCAAAGCATTGACATTCGAGCTGTGCAAATCTGCGAAGCGACTGTAGTATTGTGACTGTAGTATCACGATTAATACCTAGTGTCTGAGATACATGTCATGATTTGCAACGGATTTGATGGTGAATTGCGTTAATAAATACAAATTTGCCAATGCATTTCAGAGAATCATGTAGTTTGCAATAACACAAACTCTGTTAAAGCAAATTTGTCCTCAATTAACTCGGAAATAGTTATCTAATTCTTTATTGCACAAATAATCAATATTCAAAATTATTATTATTAACTACTATTATATATTACTGGACTGTTCTACAATTTCATTAGTATTTGAGATCATTATACAAATTTATTTGATTTTTAAGAAATGTTAGGAGAAATAAAATAAAACAGGTGGAATTTCATTTCTTTGCTGCTAAGATATAAAAATTATTTCAGATGGTTATTCTCCAAGTAATAAAATGCAATCATTATAATAATTATTTAGGTTATTTTTCGTTATTTTATGTTGTAAAATAAATGTAACATTCGTGATGATGTACAATATTATCATTTAATTGTCATTTTTAATTCGTATTTAATGAATAAATAGTGGATAACGTTATCAATTACTATCTTTATTAAATAATCAATAATTGCAAATAAATAAGTATATATGCTTATTTACTTGCAATTTATTGACGCAGTATATCCCCAATGCATGTCAATGTTTAAACAATTTATCGCCAATAAATTATTCTACGAAGGTTGCAAGTGCTTATTGTTTAAGTAAGACAAATATTAATTAACAATGTTATTTATTCTATAGAAAAATAAATTGTATCTTAACTTACATTTGTATTGTGTAAGATTACATATGTTATAACGAGAAATATACCTACATCTTACACAATACATAATATAAGCTAAGATACAATTTATTTTTCTGTACACGTCACAATTTGAGAGGGCTCCTTCTTGACGTCTTTTGTGATTTTTAATTTTAATTTAAGACACATTAAATATTGACACAGACGTTATATTAATGATCCTAGATACTTAGATAGCTCCTAAGTTAAAATAAATTCGGCTTTAATTAATTCTATAGATTTGCCATTGATTTTGGAAAATACGATGAATCTCTTTGCAATTTATGAAAATCATCAATTTATTATTCGTTAATTTATTATTCATTATGCTTAGCTAATAGTTGATTTTTAATAAGATCGGCAATCTTAGGATAATAACTGTGGAATAATTGGTATTGATGACATGTGTTTAGACGTGGCGTTTATGATAGCATGAATAATTCAGCCGTTGTTTGCTTTATTTACGCAAACACTCGATTGGCACGAATGCGGACGATGTGCTGACGTTTTCGCGGTGAGAAATAGAATCGTCGACTCGGGATAGCACGGCTAAAGACTCACCGTCTAGATTTGTGATGAGTATGTGTCAACAAGGTGGAATTAGGAAAGTCTTTATGGAATAATAAAGGGCACGCGCAAATAATAATTCAAGACAAAAAAAATATGATGACTCATAATATGAAAGATATTTTTTCCTTTCTTAAAAATAATATAATATATATTTCAAGCAAGAAAAAAATCTTAATATTTTTTATACAAGAAAAAAGTGTACTTTTATATACACAGTATATAAATAAATTTCTCTATCTAAAATAAACTGCATAAAACAATGTGATATATTTCAGTCAGAAAAATCTTTAAAATATTTTTACGGAAATAATATATACAGAGAGCTTAGCTTAACTAGGTAAATCTAATTAATTTTCAATAATAAGCTCGAATCAGCTATCAATTTTAATTTTATAAAGTACTACTTAATTAGCTAGTAAGCTCGTTTATTTCGAAATAGTAATATTAATGATATTATCTCGAAATATAGTAGATATTATAATAATTAATGTTTTTGTAAAATTTTGAAACTGCACTTAGTTTATTTATGCAATTAAGATCTATAATATCAATTAACAACACATGATTAACAAATAAAATTCTGTTCACGTTTATTGCGTGAAAAAACAGTTAAAAATAAAACTTTCCACATTAAATAGAAATTTATCCGTATAATGCCGAGCTCTGCTATGAAGTTACGCTTCCCGAGAATCAATTGGCCTTAGGTATGCCAATTTAGATGGAAATGGCCTACTTTAGCTTTTATGGTTAAAGTTTCTCTTATCGAAAGTATTTGAAAGAGAGTGTGAGAGAGAGAGAGAGAGAGAGAGAGAGAGAGAGAGAAAAAGACAGAGAAAACGCCAACGCATGTTATATCCGTAATCACGTCACATTCATTGTAATGGACTATCGGGGAATGCGTTAAATATCTAAGACTTACTCTCTTCCTCGGAAAGATCCTCTCCCAGACACTGCAGCACCGCCCTAAGATCCGACGCAGTGATATACCCACGATTATGTTTGTCGAATACCTGTATATAACAAGCAAACAGAAAAATTAAATTCATAGTGAACCAAATCTCTGCACTGAGAGAAAAGTCTTGATATTTGTGATTATTTTATATATATATATATAT